GAATGTAATTAAGGTCTTATTTTTAAATCCCCCCACCAGACTGTCTGAAATACAGGTTTATATAGCAGGAATAAAAATCTTATCTTGATTTAGATGAGGAAATCAACAGTTTATGTGTTTTACTACCAACTAGTCTAAAAGAAACCTCAGAGTTAAGTTCAGAGCGCTGCTTAGTGATGCTCCAGGGATGAATTTAGCCTCTCCTGTCCTGTAGATCAGTAACACTATGATATTGGAAAGTAATGCTGTGCTGCAAACAGCTTTTCTTATACTCAAAGAAAAAAAAAAAACACAAAACTTTTTACATACGAATGGTTTTACTGTAACAGTGCCTGCTCTACTCGGTCGACATTCCTTCCTAACTTTCAAGTTGAAACAGCGTTAAGTAAAGATTCATGTTGTAGTGGTGACAGGAGGAGTTGTTACACAAGATGTAAAGTTTCCCTTGGATTTCATGTCACGATTTTTTCTCATTATTTAAACAAGAACTACATTGAAGTGGTGCAGGTACCAGGCAATAAAGATTTCCCTTGGTGCTGACAAACTCTGAGACCGCAAATGGAGGTGCTTACATGCCGCAAGAGATATTGCATAGTGTTCTTTTCCTTTAGGCAGGGGATTGCTGTCACAAAGGAAACATCTTTATAGAAGAACTACTATTATAGGAAAAAAAAACGTTTATTTCTCATTATATATGAAGATTTCAATTCCAGCATGTTTTATTCAGTAATGTATGGAAATCGTTTCTAAGCATGCAGCTTTTAGCCTGATTTATTTATTAATCTGCTTGTGGAAATGCTTCAAGTATTGTTAGTAATTTTGCTTTATTATTCAATGATACCCAAGTACAATAGAGGGAATATGTTGTGGTTTTTTTAAAAAAAAAAAAAGAAAAGAAAAAAGAAAGCAAAAAGAAATACATGTTTTGTGAAAAGATCTGACAAAGCTTTTATAACTGGTATACATAGGATACCTATGTATCTGATTTGTAGGTAGTTTACTGAGTCCATTTGTAAGGGTTTTGGCAAGTGAAAAATTATTTTTACAGCTATGGGATGTTAAAAAATAAACAAAGCAAACAGGAAAAAAGTTTTGCTGGAATGCTGTAGTTCATCTGTGGGTCACTGGCATGGGAGTTGAGGTGCACATGATGTGTTAATTGAGAGAAGAAAAATTTGAGACAGCAATTGATTTTCAACAGTAGGTATCCGTATCAGGGAAACAAACACAAGCGTAAAGCCCTCAGCCCTATTGGTCAAGATAGAGGTAAGGTTATTACTGGACAACAGTTGGGGTATTTCAACTTTTTGGGGTTTGGTAGCTATTTTTCTATATTCCTGAAATCACTGCAAGATGATGATATAAAGAACATTTGATATTCACAAGCAGACTCCTTTTCCTTTTAATACTATCAAATTGGGTTTGAAGTACAGTATTGAATAATGACATTTCCATTTTTTTAATTTTGAAACTACTTTCCAGTAAAAAGGTTTAAAACAAAACTTTCTACTGCATGCTAAAATTATAATAGCAGAAATCTTTTTTTTAATTAAAATCACAATTACAAGCCACAAAAACTGAGCTGTTCTGCTATTCTTATCACATTTATTTTGTTAATTTTCAAAATTTGTAGTTTAAAACTGGTTTGGTTTTTTTTTTCCCTGAAATGTGAAAACTGTGACAGCTCTTATTCTAAAAAGTCATTTTGAATACAAAGCTATTTTAAGCTGAAAATGTTTTGCTGTCTTGAATGACTGAGACCTAGTGGTGTATATGCTTTGGTGACTGCTACCATGAACACTTACCAGCTCCTTCGCAATTGCTGTTCTCTAAGGAAAATGTCTTGCCACAATGAAGGTACCGAAATGAGGGTAGACTGACAGTTGAAAGGTAGATGGGTAGGTGGAGTACCTGCCACTGTCTTTCTCCCCTCAGTTGCCTGGGAGGCATTCTTTTGAACACAGGCTGTTCTTACATCACATTAAATTTTGTTACAAGTCAGTTCCTACAAACTTAATTCCTTTCACTGTGATTTCAGTATGTTCTTGTCAGCCTGGCATGACAGGGTCAGAATCTTGCCTGGCAAAAACCATCTTACCCTTAACTATTTACTTTGGTGGAAGGCCTGCTTGTAGGAGTTTTGCACCTGGTAAAATGGCAGAATATAGAAAAATTCAACAAAATAATTATGTTCTTTGCCATGTGGTGCTGCAGGAGACTTCAAAATTCAGCTTTCCAGAGGTGATGCGTTTCTATTTGTTGGAATGGTACATGGATATATTTATAAAATATACAATTATAAAACATAAAATTTTTGGAACCAAAAGTTTTCCACTGACAACAGTTTTTTCTGTTTTAGAAATATGCTAAATATACAGAAGTAAACTTACTGATAACAAAGGAAGTTTCTAGAAATAGCACCCCGTACCGTTTTGAATACCTCGTGAAAAATATTTTTGATGTGTTTTAGCCAAAGTGTTGACTTATGGATCGCTAATTTCAGCATGCTGGATTTTTCCTCGGTCGGGTACAGAGTTCTGTACCACCTCTCATGTGGTTACAATTGTTATCTCAGATGATATTTCCATCAGCGTGTGGCTAGTATGTCTTTGCAACAGAGGTAACCTTGGCTGAATAATGAATTGAAGTAGGCTCAGCCATCAATCACTAATGATGCTGCAGAGAAGATATTTCAGCAGATTTGTAAATGTCATCACCCAAAAAAAGACTATTTTAAATGATAAGAGATGTTTCATTTTCCAAAGAAAATACTTTCTCTAGGATTAGTCACAGTATTTATTTAAAATTTTACGTACGTTCCTGAGGTCCTCAGGGAGCCCCAAGACACCAAGTAAAGGCAAAATGAAGAATTGAAGGCATTAATTCTGAAGAAACTTTATTATAATCATGCTATAGGGTAAAAGTGAAAACTGCTGTTCCTTAGTGATTCCCTGCTTTCCTAGCACAGATTTGGTTTATATTCACAAAAATTGTTAAAATAGTGAGCTAAAAATGTATTAAGACTAAGTGTATCAAAGTTAGGTGTGGTCTAGTAGATAAATCAAGTGCTGGGCTGCAGTTCAACCCAAGGCATTTGACTCAGATTAAATTAATTTAGCGGTCACATCTCACATAGCTTAAAACAGTGGGATTTTCTGCTTGAGAAAGGTGGGAAATGGAGCTAGCGTAAGTGATGAATCGTTTCTCATCTTTAGGTGATCATTTCAGGCTCGAACTTATTTTGAGGGAGAACTGAGAAAAACAAATGGTCCAACGTATGTTGTCCTTGGCTTCCAAGTTAAACAAAACAAAATAAACTTGTCCCATTATTCTGCTTTTTCAGTCAATTGTGTGCAGGATTTTGAGACAGAAGCTCCAAATGTTACAATTCTCTCTACCTGAAAAATTTGCTCATTTCTATACTCCTTTCATTACAGAAATGCTCTACTTAACCTATTTAGTAGTTCTTTTAGCTGTTTTAAAGTAAAAAATGAACAAACGGTATTTATTCCTTTTATTGTGTTATTTGCCTAATTCATAAAGAATTAAATACATCTGAAGAATGTCCTGTGTCTATTTTTTGAATTCAGATCTACTTTCATTTGCACAAGTGTGAATTAAACAGAAATGGAATGTGCCTATTTTAGGACTTTATTCTAAATAAAATGTGACTAAAGTCCTTGTTTGGTTGGTTATTGAGATGAATGGGACTGCTCTCATGAGTAATAACTGTCTGACTCCCTACTTAATGTGTTGTTTGCCAATATTATCTCTATTATTGTATGACAGATCACCCATTTCTGCAGTATGAGTATTAAATTTACTAATTAAGTTCTGTTAAAGACAAAGGGATAGGTTCTGGGTTTTGTTTCTTATGGTCTAAGCATTTTTATTTAGCTGCTCTCTCCCCGCCCTCCCCCCCCCCGCCTTTAATTGCAAGACATTATGGTCTTCAGAGGTATGGAATAGGTACAATTTTAGGATGTATTTTGAACAGAAATATTTTTGTCATCCAGTGATTACATCTATTTGTGATGTTTTCATGTTTGGGATTAAGCAGCGGGTGCTGTGTTTGGGTATCCACACACTTCTGTTGAGCTAACCAAAGCAGAAAATTTGGAGTTAATGCTGGCTTTCTTCTGGCTGCATAATAGAGGAAAGTACCTGATTTAGCATAAACCCTGCTGATACAAACTTAGTTTTTTTCAGCATTTTCTGACAAAGTTTGAATCATTAGAGTGAGTTTATGGCAATCAACTGTTTCTGTCATTTTTGGTTTGGTACTAAAATGATCAAGGCTGGGTTTTCTGTACTGTTGAATCATTGCCTTAGATTGCAGCTCTGCTATGAATTTATGCTGGTCTACTTTCTTTTCATGACTCTGACTCATGCCAGTGATTTTGTGACTGTACGTTGCATCAGATTCAGGAACTGATCCAGTTAAACTAATTTAGGAAAACAAAACAAAATTCGTTTTTATTTATATCAGTTCCCTAATCAGGTTTGTTGTGTCACTGCATTTATGGTGGGGTAAAAGAAGGGTATTGATAGAAGGAAGAAGCAGTCAAAGGTAGTGAAGTAGGAAGGAGTACTTGTTTCTGGGTCAGTGCCAGACATTTGCTGATGTAAAGTATTCACATAACGTGTTCACATAACTGGGATGTTACAGTTATACTGGACCCCAAGCAGTGCCAATGGAAAGAGGCAAAAAAAGTAAGTGAAGTGATCTGTATGGAATCATGAACTGATAATAAAAATAAGAAGAAAACGTGCCGCTGGATCAAAAAGAAATTTAATTTTTACCTTGCATTTTACTAAATTTCACTTTTTTTCATGAAAATTCATGTAAGAGTAATACAGTGAAAAGATTCATTCTTGTCTTTTTATGCAAGTCTCCTTGAGTCAAACATCCTCTTTATGCATTTCCTCCCCCTCTTTTCCCTCCTTCTTCTTGATTTTAGACAGTATTGCAAATTCATTTAAACATTATTTTTCTTAAGGTTGTCAACAAACTTGGGCCTCTGGAGTGGATTCTTAATACTCCCAGTCACCACAGAGTTCATCATGGTAAGCGAAAAGTGTAACCTCTTGTTCCTCAATGCGTTTTGTCTCATGGTCGCTATTTGTCTAGTAATAATAATATAGTACTAAAATTGTACTGTAAAATTACTTTTACAGAAGGATTTTAATTTTGATCATTGCTTCAAAAATAGTCCTTGTTCGGTTAGAAATTTCATGATATCTTAAAAAACTTTTCTATAACTTAATTTCTATAATTTAATTTTAAAATTTTTATATTTAAGATTAATTATTGAGCAGAAATTAAGCCTGGATAACATGAAATAGAGTGAAGACTTTGAGCAAAACAATTAAATATTTGTAAATATGAATATCCTTCCATGACTACTAAAACACCATTAACTTGTCAATCATTAACATGCTTTTGCATTCAAATTCAAGCACTGAATGTGCGAAAAGATGTGGTTACCTTTTAGAAGGACTGTTAAATGTTTCAGTGGAATTTGGTTTCAGCTGTTTGAATTATTGAAAAGTCTCACTTTACATAAGTACATGATGATTGACTTTTCATCAGTATTCAGAGGCATTCAAGACCGTGCTGCATATGTAAATTGGATTAATAACTCTGCTGCATACTGAAAAATGTCATGAACGTATCTGAGAAATAGAAGTGGATTTCATAGATGACCTTGGCTCATTCAGTGTGCAGAGATAACAAGTAAAAAAGTAATAGGGGAATGGAAGGATAAAATAATTTGAAACAGACTGAAATACTGTTGTATGTACAGAGGATGTTATTAATATTTATTATATCCTTCATGTGTAAAGTGTTTATAGCACTGTGTAGACTTTTAAAAAAGACTGTGGTGCTGTAAGTGTCTAATCCTTAAAATTTGCACAAGTACGGGTAATCCTGGAGGGAGACACTCTGCTCTTATTTGCTGTGCTGTAAATCCAAACTAATCCTCTGATCCCGATCGGAGTTCAGCAGAATCACTCTTGAGCTGATCAAGTGTTGTACAGTCACTCCAGACAATCTACACAAACGTGGGGATATGTAATCAATGTTTCTTTCCTCATACTTTTGATAGGACAGTTTATATACAAATACATTTCCTAGAAAACAGAGAGAAGGATCAGTTTTCCTCACCCTGAAGTTAATAATAATGAAGGCAGGATCAGACATGTGGCATAGAAGATAGACAGCTGAAAGCCATTAATGAGATGATTCTGCATAAATGTATTTAGTGTATATTTTCTTAGGTATCAACTGGTGAAATGACTTTTTGTTTGCTTTTCAATTTATCTTTATAAATATATTTTGAACTGAGTTTACTCTTCAGATGAATCCTTTTAGTTCACAGAAATTTTGGGTATGACACATTCGATTTGTATGTTTGAATCCGAGTAGAAAGAGAGCAATAAGCCTTGAAAGAAAAAAGAAATATTATAGATGAATAAGGACTGGTGGCTTCGCTAACTTTTAAAATTATTTTTAGATTATAAATCAGTGCTAATAATGAATATAATTATTCCTTTCATAATTCAATTGCATGTATTCTTATATATGTAATTACTAATCTCGACAAACCTTTTTATTATAGGTAGAAATCCTTACTGCATTGACAAAAATTATGGTGGCACACTCATTATCTGGGACAGGATATTTGGTAAGTAAAAAAAGGTGTTCTCTCTCATATTTAGTTAATGTGTCAAAAGTAGGTATATTTTTGATTTAATTGTTGGTTGTTCTTTTTTTTTCTTCTTCAATCAGGGACATTTGAGGCAGAAGATGCAAAAGTTGTTTATGGCTTAACACATCCAGTAAATTCGTTTGATCCCATCATGCTGCAGGTTTGCTATTACTGACTCTGGTATCTTCGACAGGCACTCATGTTCAAAAGAAACTCCTCTCAGGCACAGTTGAGACCGCCCTTGCATTGCTGCACAGTCAATTAAATTATCTACAATTTCTTCAGTATTTCATTACAAAACAATTATTTCTACTCCGTGCATTGAGTATATGCAGAGCTTGTAGTCATCATGAAAATACAATACAGTAAAATTAACAACTAATTACAATGGAGATATAACAGGCCTTGGACTGAGCGATGTCCATGTTGCTGTATGCAGAGCGATATGCAGCAAAGCACAGACAAAAATATATATTTCATCTGTTGTCTTCTCTGAATAATACTATTTCATAAATAACCCCCTGGTGTAATACCTTTACTTTTTTTCTCTCTTTTGTATATTTGCTATTCAAGTTACTCCTGAATGATTTGTGTTGACAGCTATCATGGTCTCAACAAAACCTCCAGAACAGGTTGAATATAGGTTTTTTATTAAAAAATAAGAAAAGACAAGAAAAAAAAAAAAAAAAGAAAAAGTACTTAGTGTGGTGGTTCTTAGATTTATTGGTCCAGGCTTCAGTTAAGCTGGATAAAAATTCTCTGTAAAAACCTCAGGGACTGAGTAGTATTGAAGCCCCCGTTTGCTTTTCATGACTGTTCACCCAAGGAGGTGTCTCAAAGAATGAGAAGTTCTACAGTAGGTGTGGCTGGGTCTGAAGCTGGAAGGATGGCCACGGCCTGTGCAGTTGTATCTATTCTGGTCAGGTACTAAGTGATTTAGTTATTGAGAGTCTGTCATGTCAAGGTCACAGTAATCAAATTCTAGTTTAAAACTACCATAAATACAGCTATAAAACATACTGTTAAGTACTCTGGATTGATTACAGGAGAGACAAATTTTCCTCTGGGAAGGAGTCATTGTAATCCACACTATAAACCAAGGGCTTGATATGGCTCCTGCCTATTTTGGTCAGGTTTTCTGAACTTCTGACTGTCTTCATCTATTCATAATATATTCCCTTTACAGACTTTGAAAAATCATTTACTTAAGAGCTAAAAATGAATAAAATATAATGTTTTATTAAATTTTATTTTACTAACAATGAAAAATTACTTGCTCTTTTTTTTTTTTTTTCAGTTGCGTCCCTTGGTTCATATTTGGAACACGTTTTGGGCCACACCTGGATTCTGCAATAAGCTTTCTGTCATATTCAAAGGGCCAGGCTGGGGACCAGGCAAACCTAGACTTGGCCTTCCTGAGGAAATCCCAGTGGTAAATAGAACATGCACAGGCTTTCAGTTTTGTGTAATTTACTTGGACCTCTTAATGCTACTGGATCAATGTTAAAAACTCTACACATGCTATTTTAAATTAGCAAATTAGCAGTCGTAAAGCATAGGGGAGATGAAATGGGAACAGAAACTGAAGGAAATGAATGTTTTAGATATGTTTTTTTCGTTTTATTTGAAGGAAAAAAAATACAATTTTTATTTATCTTTTCATTATTCATTTCCTAAAGAGATTTTCAAAATTATTCTATAAAGTACAGTAATTTCTCTTTTTCTTTTAGCTGTGAACATACACACAGAGTTAAACTCTGTCTCACACTAGGTAGTACATAAGTTTGATAGTAGATTATCTTTGTGCAATTATTTATGTCCCTTAGTCTTTTTTGGTTTTGTAAGTATGAAGAATACTAAGGAATAACAGGCTGGAACAGGTCATTGTTGAAGGCTATTATCTGTTTTGCTTTGTACAGATCACTGGAAAAGAAGTTCCCTTCAATCCAAGTATACCAGCTTATCTTAATTGCTATGCAGTTGTACATTTTGCTGTAATAATGGACTTGTATACTGAACTTCTTGGTACTGTGACTGTAAGTAATTCCTATCTTTATGAAATAGCATCTCATGCTCACAATAATATGACATAACATTTAAATAATACGGTGTTGAGTGGAGGCTCTACAGCCTGATTCATATCTTATTTAAACTATTAGAATAATAACTAGATTCTGTAAAAAGGATCAAAATAAATGGCTAAATATATAATGCTTGATATTGTTTATTAAACAATGTTCAATAACCATATAAATTATTTAGAGATGAATACACTTAAGTTAAGCAATTACATTAAAAAAAAATTGCTATAGAAGACATGTCTGCTTTAGTTTTTATGACCTTATGAAAGGAAAAATGTATCTTAGACTTGAAGCTATGTAGGTTTTAAGATGTCTTGGTCATATTGTTCGACAACAATAATGCCCAATCTTCAAGAGGATTGCAAAGGTCTTGCAGTGCTTGCAGGTTGGAAGCTCAGTGTCAGTATGAGTTCAGAGTTAGAGGAGCACAAACTGAGGCAAATCCTTCTTCCAGTCTTGAATGTACAACAGCACTGATAGAAATACAGAAAGGGAAGGCAAGTTTTTACCAACTCATGTTTGGGCTGATGGAATCTCCCTGGTAACACAATGTGGTTCCTGCAAGGATACCTGGCGATCTGTGAAGGTGAACTACTAGGCCCTCTTACTTACAAGAAGCAAGACACTGTGTCCATGGCTTCACACCCTTCCAACCTCCTTTTCATTCTGCCTTCTTTGACAACTCTACTTTACTAAAGCTAAAATCTTTTCTTTATGGAACATAATTTTAATGCATCTAATATCCCTACAAATCAGTCAAAGGCCTACCAAAACACCACAAATGTCTATCAGTTTGATAAAACAATCTTTGGACTGTTTGTTAAACCCTTTCTACTACCTCCTTGGTTAAAGAGCAGTCTTTTCATTGTGTTTGTTTCACCCATGTTGCCCACAGGCCTGCTGTCACAGAGCCAAGGGCCCCCTGGGATCTTCAGCCTCTGTCTGCCCATGAACTTGCTTCCTCTCATCATACTTGCCTGGTGATCTCCAACCCTTGGCCAGGGGTCGTTAACTGTCCCATGACCACCTTGGTGGGTGCTGTGGGACAGCACCCTTCCCCCCAGGGCCACAGGTCTGACCACTAGCTGCCACCAGCCCCCTGCCCCTTCCCCAAGGAGCAGCCCTTCTCACTGCACCCCGATGCCTTTGCCCATGACCAACATGTCTGAATCCAGCCAAGAGGCACATTTCTAGAAATAAGTCTCTGTTGCATATCTGACCATGTTCATCCATGAAGGATTCCAGAGAACTGCAAAGCCATTTCAAAGCTGTAAGAAATCGTGTCCAAATGTTGATGTTTTGGTCTCCTGACTCTTGCGACCCAGGGCAAGAAGGGCAGGAGAGGTACTCTGCCTGCAGTGATTTCTTGGGATATGTGGCAGCAGGCTTATAGCAGCTCTGCATATACCAGCTGCTACAGCCCCTTTTTTAAAATATTTTTCGTTAGATGTATTCTGAGTAACATATCAGACCAGTAGAATGATGCAATTTTTGAGAAAAGCTTAAAAAGTAAGTATTTTATGTAGCATTCCTGATATAATATAAAAGCTACCTCAGGCATACTCTTCTGATTAATATTAAGTTATTCTACACATAGTGTTCACCTCTGTAAAGGGTCACACTGCAACTGCAGGGAATTTGGAGATTACTAAGACATCTGAGGCTTAGTCTATTCTAAGAAATTTCTGAGGACAGGAAATTAAGCCAAAGGTAAGGATAAATACTTCCAATGTATACAAGATATACAGTATACATGATTGCCAATGTTCTTATATTGAGAAAAGCCTCTACAAGATTTTCCAGATACGCTTTTAGATTCCTACATACCAAAATCAAGTCATATTTGCATAGGGATCAAACTGTGGGGTTTTGTTTTGTAGTTTTTTTGGTTGTGTGGTTTTTTGGTTTTTGGTTGTTTTTTTTTTTTTTTTTTTTTACTTTGTTGCTGTTGCTTTTAGCATTAAGAAGTGAGGAGTCTGCTCATGATTTTTTCCTATTTTTTTTTTTTTTTTTTGCCTTTTTCTGGTCCTGGAACGAAAAATGGATACTCCAAATTATTTTCTTTGCTGATAACTGCAGCTGTTTAAGAATAAGGAAAGCTGAAAAATGCACCCAAGCCCCAGATGATCATTAAATTCTTGCAGTCATGGAGGAAACATCCTGAAGATCCACCATTTATGAACTTATTGTAGAAAAACAACTAGAAAACTCTCTGCACAAAACTGTGGGGTAATAAGGTAGTAAGGATAAGAAGGAGAGCACGGGGGGACTAGAAGCACCTCATCTCAGGACATAAACTTTTGGCGTGGGTGTAGAAAGTGCTGGTCCAAAGGCAGAGTTCCAGCATCGCTCTGCAGTGTAGCGGGGAAGCTGTCATGAGAAGGAAGCTTGTGTATGAATAACTTTACTTGGCAAAAATCTTTCTTCAATATCAGTTTTCCACTACACTGAGTTATGAAATGTCTATGGATACAACTGGAAATTTCTGTCTGGCTATGAATTATGTCATAACTGTGGCATAGCTCCATAAATGGAGAAAGCTAACTGTTTTCCTCATTTTTAGGTATAAGTTCCATTTCATAATAGCCATAAGACACAGCACACAGCTATTACATTTCTCAAGTGATTACAGTTGCTCAGTGTTTGGTCTCACGCCCTGTAGAAGTGTTAAATTTCTCTATACGTAAAGAGCAACCATATACCTTCGATCTGAATGACCTACATTTAACTTGCAAGAAGAGCAAAACAAGAAAGAACAAATATATATTTTCCACAGGAGAGAGCATACAGTGTTTATTTTCTATATAGCAATCTGCATTACATCCAGAGAATAAAAATTACTTCTGAGCTCTGCACATCTAGACCTGATCCAAAGCTCATTGAAGAAAAGGGATTTGGATCAGTCCCAGAGAGAGTGCTAGGAGTGTAACACTGCAGTACATTCAAAGTAAAAGTCTCATAGCTCCAGAACTGCATGTATCACATAAATCAAAGTCAAGCGTACCTTAAACATATTTTTCAGTGTCTTTTTTATTGTTGATAGATACTGTAACATTTACTGTGCTTATAATGCTATGAATATGTGAACAGTTTCAATTAGACGAAAAGCGGTAAGGGATAAGATAGATCTCTTGACAGCTGAGAACACAATTAATGTATCCATTCAGTAGGACATCACCAAGTAATGTATATGGAATATTGCTAAGAATTTACAAATCTTTAGGAACTCTAAGTTAAAATAAATTCATACAAAGACAGCTAACAATACAAATTTCATAGCATTGTAGTAGCATTCTTCTTTTGAATGTCGAAAGTGTCTGATATACGACAGCAGGGCATCTGTTAAATTATGAAATGTGCTGACATCGTTCCTAGCAGTTCTGTTGAAACACTGAACACACCAGGATGAGAAAATGCATCCATGTTATTCTTCAAAAAGAATAAAAGAATCTGAGTCCTTTGAAATATAAAAGTCCATTTGGAATCTTTCAAATTTCATCTAGATATACATTTGGAATGACATATTTCCTTTGTTTAAGTGAATTATTTTTTCGTTCCTAAAAAATATAAAATCTTAACACTGTGGCAACCTGTTGATTACAAAGCCATGTAAACTTCTTCCCAAATTCTATAACCCTCCCTTTTTTTTAAGGCTCCAAGGTATTTTTAAAGCTTTCAATGAAATCAAAATCCAAAAGAAATATTTTTTTCTGTTTGATTGCAGCCAATAACCACATTGCAAAGTTGTGGCTGACTTGTAATTGGGGAACCTGCTGTGGTCCCACAGGCTTCTCTGTTTATACAAATACTCCAGTATATAAATACTGATTTATTTTATGTATACGTCCATGCATATTATGCTTAAGTGGAAGGAGGATGCTAGCACTAACGAAGGTGTAGAAGGCACATTCTTTTCACATTGCAACTTGCAGTGTGTAGATTTAATATATGATGTTTAGTTTAGTGATATAACCCACTGACTATTTTGTTGATTTTGGTAGAGTAATGCCTAGAAAATGGATGCCTCAGCTGGCAGCATCCACTTCACAGGGTGATACAAGTTTGAAAGTAAATAAAAGAATCAAGGCAGCATGTAACTATACCACTGGAGCTGTAATGGGAAAGTTATGGAAGCAAACTAATAATGCTAAAATTTATGCTACATGGCTGATTTTCTAAAAGCAGTTATTCCCAAATGGCATCAGGGCGTATTTCACTGCAAATTTCTTGTCCTTGACTAGGACATGAGGGAAAGGAGGGAACACATTTTTCTGCTGTTTGTGAATGTGGTGCATGTATCTGCAGTGAAGGGTAACTTACACCTTTCACCTTCATGGTTCCTGGTAAGGCTTTGTGCCTCATCCTTCATCACTCCAGAAAGTTGAAGACTTGGGAAGCGGAAGGCTGCAACACTGTACTCGGGCATTACAGAGCCATGCATTTGTGTGAATCTCAGGAAAGTGCCAGTTTGTGAATAAGTGTGATCTGCAGGGTGTGCTTTAGAGTCCTCCAGTCTTTCACATTCTGGGCCACAGATAGTATTGGACCATATGAAATTTTACAAAAGGCTAGTGTTCAAAATGTTACGGTTCAAGTAGGAGAGCCGTCTGAAGAGAAATAGAAATTGGCCTGAAAAACAGAATCTGTAAAATGTTATCAGACCTGGCTCAGGTAGTTGTTGTACCAACGAACCTAATAGAGCATTTTAACCATTTTAAGATAAAGGTTTGTTTGTATTTGGGTTTGATTTTTCTAAATTATAAGGTTGCTTCAGCTCTTTCTTCTGAGTTACTGACAAACATTAGATTGTATTTCTATTCCCTTTGGGGTTTTTTTGTTTGTTTTTTTTTTTTTTTTTTTTTCTGGAAATCCATGTTTAAAACTGAACTGGAATGTATTAATTTCCTTTCAAGCTCTTGATCTGTGCTTTTTTCTTCAGCGGCTGGATAAATGTGAAGAGTCAAATGATAACTCCAGGCATCAATTTTGCACGTCTTAGAGAAAATGTTTAAGAGAAGTTTGCAGGATCACGCTCCAAATTTTTGTATTAAATCCTTTCTTTGTTTGTGGAGAGAAGGATGCAGTCTGAATGACAGTATTACAGTGTCTCTGATATCAACCTTGTCATTATTTCAAGGTCCATCAGCAACAATATAATAAAACAATAACAAAAAATGTTGTTTTCTTCCTGAAAATATGTTAACCTTTAAAAAGTAATGTCTGATTTTTCCTACTCTTTTATAAATGGCAATTAAAATATACCTTTAGGCAAAGAAAAGAATTCTGATAGAAGTTATGAGACAAAACAACACTGAAATTATCACTCAAAAGTGTTGGCTTTGGAGAAGTGTTTCTATCATCCACTCAAATCCAAATGGTGTAGGGACCAAATTTCGCCTTTAGACTGGCTGTCTAGTTAATGGCAAGAAATAAAATCATCCAGAAAGCGCACTCTCTCCACTGATTACAGAGAAAGTTTATGTTAATAACAGGCTTTTAGGCACTTCAGTGAAGGTAATTAAGGGAAGGTATACTGAATCAGCACCTCGGTTTTCTGAAACTGGAATCTCGAGGAAGCCCAGATGCCTAGGACTTGGTGGCTGGTTGTCTAATGCTAGTCAGCTCAGAAACACTGGGAAGGCAGAAAAGTGTGAGATCATGCAGCTCTTTTAAATTGGAAATTGAAGACACATTTCATAGCAGGTACTGCTAGATCCTTCCTGAAGACAAATATTAACATTTGTACTCTCAAAACTGTTGTGGGTTCATTTGTTTTCCATAAATTGTGATTTTAGCCATACATTGTTATGCAGTAATTACGTGACTTGTTTGAAATTTGGATTTGGTATTCAGTCCTCTTTCCTGCCTAAGGGGGGTACCAAATCTTACGTTCCTTTTCTCACAGTAGCACCCTACCACTGTGGGAACATTTTTAAGGCATTCAGTAGAAGCTAGTGCATTGCACTGGAAACACAAAGCAAAATCAGACCCACCTGTCCAGAAGGACTAGGTTTAAAAAAAAGGTGTAATTCTCCAACTTAAAAGCGAGGACAGTCTCTAAGGAGGAAAGTCTTGAATTCCAGTACTCGATCCCTGGCAAACTCCTTTATTTGACAAGTAACAATCATTGAAAAACATATCAAAGCATTTCTAAGAAATTTATGGGTGAGTTCCCTTATGCCTGTGCCAAATCATGTTTTTCTTTGCTCACTCCTTGAATTTTTGTATGACCCAGTTTCTACAGGAAGCTGAAGTGGGAGTTGAACTTATGTGGCTAGATGAGCAGTATAAGAACATATTTTATTAAACTTAAATAGAGTCTGTGCCTGATTTTTATAAAAAAGTTCTGTCCAAAAATGTTGTCACTTCACAATAAATTGCTTCATATTAACAATGGAAAGTCTTTTAAATTTGATATCACTGTGGGATTTTCAGATTCTAGAAACAAGGTTTCAAAAAGAACATCCTCAATTCAGTCTTTTGATGACAAACTTTAAAACTTTTATCTGGAATTTGCGAATGTATTCCTGTCTCCTGTGATGGCCGATAGCAGATGCTCAGGGTTAGAACATAAAAAAAGCGTAAAGAGTATCCTTTCTCAAGGTCTACATATAAGTAGATGATGGTAGTAATCATCAGTCTGACGTTTTGTAAGTTTATCATAAGGAGGGGTGGTATAGGTTGGAAACATAGCAATGCAGTAATGAGTTTGAGCTATCCTGGAATAAATCTGTGCAACAGAGTGGCTTGACAGGTGTCATTTGTGAGAAGAGCGCTCTGGCTTGTAAACTGGTGGGGCTGCTGTTTAGCTCGCTGGTTGCCAGGATTGTGTTTTCTTTGTTCAATAACTGTTTGTTACGGATCTCTAAGTAGGTGCTTGTGATTCTTCAGTAAAACAACAGAAACCTACCCAGCCTGAGTGTGTGGTTTGATGTGTTTTGCAAACATGGGCACTGTAAGTTCACACTGCTGTAAAACTTGAGAATATCCTCCTGTGGCCTCCCACGCTCGCAGATACTTTACCTTAGATCTCTTCGAGGGGTAGGGGCCACCACTGAAGGAAGGTGGGCATGTCACTGAGTGGGATTTATTGAAATCAGGGCAGACTTTCATAGATTTTTAATTTCCCAATGCCTGCAGTCTTGAGGTACAAATGTTGTCCGTAAACCTTCTTGCTATTGAAGCCAGAAAGGAGTCCTATAACTCAGCAAGATCCATTACTTTTGTTTTGGAGGTTTTTGTTGTTTTTTAAATGCAAAAACAAAGGCTTTTCAAAACTAATATTTGAAAGGAAGTCAGGGAGGGTACAAGAAAACTGATTAAATATTTGATTTTCAAAGGCAGCTGTGTAGAATACAAAAAATATTTAAGAAATGAAAAGAAAAAAATTAAACTTCACAATGAAAATAATTTCTGTTTTCCTGAGGTTTTTTTTATATCATTTTGATGTAAATTTTAATGATGTAAATCCTTATGCTGTTATTCATCCAAGTATTAACACACATGTTAATGTTTAAAAGTGTTTTAAGTCTGGTTGAAGTTAATGGTATAAGTTCAAGAGTTTTTCTGAATTGGGAACCAAGTGTCAAGTTGTCATGAAGGGACAACATTAATTTTGTTTCTTCTTAAATATGGTTATATTGCCATGTCTTGTGAATTCTTATTCTCACCAATGTATTGGTTTTGGTATCCATTGGGATTCATAGATGACTACTGTAAAAACATAGTAACATAAGATGAAAAAGAACAAGGCTGCTGAGATTTTTGTCTAGAAATAAGTTTGTTCCCTCTTGGGTAAAGGCATAAGGGAATCAAGTAACTTCAGGAAAACACCTAGTGAAGAAGGGAATATCTTAAACAACATTTTGGAAATACAGTTTTCAGGAAACAGGTATAAAGGTGGTTACTCCCCATAAGTGTGCTATTCAGAGCCGATAATATTTGTTCTAAAATTTAAAGTAACAAATTAGTTTAAAAGCAGACCCTAACATCACTGAGTGAGGAAGTTGAAGCTACTGTTCTGTTAAAACTCAGTTTCTCTTCAGAAAATTACACTAAATGATTTCTTTGTCTACTTTTTACAGATGTTATCACAGGGAACTATTCTCCTGAGAATTGGCTTTATCATTTTGTCCCTGACCTCTTTTGGACTACTTACGGAGAACAGGCAAGATAAAAATCTCATTATTTTTTTCTTCTCTCATTATGAATTATTTATCATCATATGGAAATCTCAAGTGTGTCAAAAATTATATTGATAAAGAACTATAGATAGACTTGGACACGTATGTTGCTATCTGTTGAACAGAAAATAATATGTGAATAGCAAGCGCCTAAACCCAGGAGTGTTCCTATAGCGATGAGTGTCTATATCTGTATTGTCCATTGCAGAAAAGTTACAGGATGGGCTACTTGTGTCTCTCTCCATGCTTGCATTTGTTGGGTCCACATCTCTGATTTTGGGACACTGGCAGGCCAGGGAGACCTGCAGGCTGTCCCAAGGCAGTTCAAGCTCAGACTGCAATCGTATTGTGTCAGTCCTGTGTAGCATGACATAGGTGTCAGATACCCTGATGGTATATGAAAAGCGCACAGTGTAGCTCACAGTAGACTCCAAATCATGTGAAGGTTAGTGTGGACTTAAGACTAAATTTAATCAGTATGGTTTCAAATCAAATTTGATCATGAATACACCAGCCCAGTGAGACGTACACTATGGGAGTAGTCCATATGGACACCATGACCCTACAGAAGAGTGAATAGCAGATACAGTTTCTTACAGAGAAACTATTTGCCCTTCCGGAACAGAAATGTGGAATAGAAGCTTCCTTTGAGATGGAGGTGCCAGTTCTGCTTTGCACCTGCTGTTCATTATGTTTTCAGAAAGAAATACCTTTCACTTGTGTGGACTGAATAGTTTATTTCAGGGTAGGTAAAAATCTGTCAGTATTCCAGAGATGTCTATAACTTAGGGAGTTAGTAATGTGAATTAATAAAAAGTTACAGAAATAGACTGATGAAAAGATTCTGCACTACTTATGTAGCAGTTTTCAGAATTTTGTTGTTGTCATTTTTGAGATCAAAAGACAATGGCTGTATATACATCTACATTTGTGTGAGCTTATATATAGTTTGTGAGTATGTGTATTCTCACCCCCAGTAAATTCGGTACTATAAGTCCGTATAAGGTAGATGCTATAATAACTTAACTATAAGGTTAAGAAAGATGACTTGGTGTAAGTGCAGGACATCACAGACTATTTCTATATTCTTTTTCATTGCAGTTAACAAATAAGAAAAGGTTGGACATTAATCTGAATTACTTCCCATTTCTAGGCCCAAAGCAGACATTTTGGAAATTATCCGCTGCTTAGTTTTCGTAGCTGTGTACAAACTTGGCCACTTAAGGAGTCAGTTTTCTTCCTTGTGCTATGCATATGAGGTAAGACATTTATTTTGAAATGTGTCTGCGCTGATGACCCTGGATTTTTTTTTATCTTTTTAGAAAAAACAGAAACACTAAACATTTATATTTTGTTTCCTTATGTTTGATTGTATTATTTGAGCAGAATATTATTTTTTTTTTTCTTATCTCTTTATTTCTCCCTTTTTATGATTAACTTGTAAGAAAATTATTGGGGTTTACATTGGGTTTACATTGAAAAAAGTCAGGAAAGTATCCTTATTGTTTCTTGCAAAAATATATTAGTGGTCATATGCTTGGAAGGGAATAGAAAAAAAAAATGTGTAGCTGAACTTGAACTGATTAATTCATCTTTCATGAGGCAAATATGAAAATGCTTGGAGGCTGGAAGAGTCTTAAATTATTTTTTTTTTTTTCTGTACTTATACTGTACCTCTGAAACAGACTTTTAGCCATTGACAAAGATAGGGAACTGGATGAAACAGACCTTTGGTCTGATGAAGTATGGTTGCTTTTGTGTTCTTAGGACTTATTTTTGTCCTGGTTGTGACTTTTGCTTTTTAATCTGCCTTTTTCTTTTTTCAGTACAGTTGGTATTTCATAATAACTCTTTTAATATTATCTGAATTAAATAACATTTATTTAGTAATATGATTCTGATTTGAATAACATTCCCAAGCTACCTAGTGCCCATTACCAGCAAATACAGTTATCAGCAAGGTTATGAACGATTTGCTAGATTGCTAGAACTGTTATCAGAAAGTTACCTTTTGGCTTAAAACCAGAAAAAATGAACTAAAACAGTAGGGATTGAGACTCAAACCAAGTTCAGAATGGTTCCTTTGACTTGAAACATCTGCAAAATTTATAGCAACTTTTCTAATTGGAGGTTTCTGGTAGTGGTGCTGATTCTCCTGTTTTTCCAAGAGATCAGGCAATAGGAGGATGGAAAAATATCTTATGCTGCTGTGGGTCTTTTTTTTTTTTTTTCTGTTGTCTTTTTACCTGGGCTAGGAAACAATAACTATTGGACAATATTTACAGCCAGATAAGTGCCAATAATCAAGAATTGTTCTGATTTTTTTCCTGTATTGTTACATTGTCAGACCTTGGTGTATAAATCAAACAGTTCTTGAATTCCTTTGATAAGCGTCTGCCAGAACTCAGCAGATATTTTAAGGACTTTACTTGCTTAAATATAATTTGGAAAATGTTTTTATTATTTACTGAGTAGCCTACTACAGTAAATAAGCTTGAAGTGAAGAATTCTAAAATTTGGTGATTAGTTCTATAGCCCTTGAAATATAGCTCTCAGACTTGAATTATTCGATCTGACTTTGCGGACAAGTATATGCCAAAATGTACGCTCTCAATTAAAAAAAAATAATGTGTGTTTGTGCATATGTAAAGGTGTCTCTTAGTAAGACATGAGTGAAAGTAAAATTATCAGATTATTATTTCTATTGTTTATAGGGAACTATACAGCTTTGTATTCTGCCATGAAAAAGAAAATAAAATGGAATGGTTCTTATTCTGTTCTTTCATTAAAATTTTAACTTCTTGGCTATCTCAAGTTCTTCCCTACTGTACTTTCCTATCCTTTCTCCTATCTAGCTTTTTTCCTTTTATTTTTTTATATTATACTTTTCTGTTACTCTTTTTTTAGTCCCTCATTTGGCCATTTTTAACAAAAAACAGGAGTACCTTGCTCACATGCTTTTCTTTCTTTGAAAATACTGAAAGAATAGGTGTCTTCCAAATTGTTTGCTTTCAGTGAGACCAAAATAGATAATGCTTCTGAGTAATGCAAATATGTCAACAATAGAGATTATGGTTTATCATAAATAAACGAGTTTGTGATATTAATAGTTTTTGTGATGTTTGTGATGAACTTTGAAGGGTTTTGATACAAATGGTCCACTTGTGCTCTCAATTCATTATACAATTCCTGGATTGATGGTAGGAATGTTCTTAGGTGTGGCAATATTGTTATAATGGGATTTATGATAAAAAAATTCTGAGCAAAGGGAAATTGCCAGAGATTTGTCAATGTTGGAAATACAACGTTGAAAAGTTTTCAAATATTTATGCTTTAGCTCAATATTGACCTAATCATTTTGAACCAGCAGATACCAGAAAGCATAAGAAATAAATAAAAAAAAAGGTTTTCTCAGAAATTAGGTCTAAAATTTGTCCTAAAAATTGTTTCTGTTCTGTTCAACACTCAAACATGTTATCTATCCTTCACAGTATAATACTGTAGATAACTTTGAGAGCCATAAACATAGATCTATCTCATAAGCAATGTTAATTTCTGCTACATATGTCCTCGTAATTTTTATGTGCTTGCTTTTCAACTTCCTTTGCTCTTTCTCTTTCAAACCACTTACAATTTTTAGACATGTAAATTAAACCATTTATTTAATATTTTTTGCCTCATACATATTCCATCTTAAACATACACCTAGATTTATCCGACTTTGATCTTTTTAATGTTATATTTTCAGTATTCATAATCTGTACTATACTTAAATGATGTCCTCCTTGGATCATCATCCTTATTTGTTACCAAGCAGACAATTCTTTAGTAATCCAGTATCCATGAGTGATAGTAATGAATGCACAACACCACGTAAAAGAATTTCTCTTGACTTTTTTTTTTTTTTTTGAGTCTATAAATTATGCCTTTCAGGGCACACACTTATGGATGAAGAAAAATAAACTGCAAGAGGCATGATGGCACTACTCAGTGTGTCTAGAATTTAACAAATAATTCTGTCACAACATTCTTAAATTAATGATGTACATTGTAGCAGATAAGTGCAAGACTGATTTTGCCATACAGCATGATGAATCATTAGGGAAAAAGCATGTGACTGCTGTCTATACATGTTGGTTTTTTCTGTGGTATGTTTCATATGTTCATATTTCTCATGAATAATTTAGAACCAGTAGATAAGAGTTCAGAAGTAAATATCCTTGCAGTACTATTTTGCAGGGTACTCTAACTAGTAAAAATAGGTGATTTAAACTGTAAGTGATTGCATTTGGCTCACAAAAAAGGTCTGACAATTATCAGAACTGCTGTATGGGAGGAAGGCCTTCTGGGTGAAAACTAGAATGAAAGTAGAGAAGAAATAAAAGAAAACTAGGGGGGGCAGCGAGAGAGGAGAGAAAAGTAGAGGAAACAAGGAGCAAGCCTTTCCCATTTTGCCATTGAATTAGCTCAGGTGGGTTTGAAAAACGCAGCTAATGATTGCAGTTCCAGCAGGAGGAGCAGTCCTGCCCTCTGGCTCCAGCCTCTTAGTCTCTCGGCCCAGCTAATTGGGTTGGCACGCTGCTCTGACTAATGCAGTCAAAGATTTCAGATAAGTGAGTTGATGCAACTTACTATGGAGCAAGAAAGATTCCTAAATGCTCAGGTCCAGGGAAGTAAAAGGAAGCTGGAGGTTTGTAAGAAAGAAGGATTTCTGCTTTTGCTAAAGCTAGAGTCTTAATATGGTTGTTAACTTTGTCCACACTCTAGTAAGTACAACATTGCATCTATAGATATAGATATGAAGTTGTGTGTTACCAGTCTTGGTCCCATATGAAGACCGTGCAATTTTTCTGATAATTTAAAGGTATTGTTCTCCCTGCTATTGCATTTGAAGTCCTTCTAAGATATATTCCTGGGGATCTTTCCTGGTGTCCTTTCATTCTCCAGACAAGACAATAATTTGCAGTTATCGGAGTTAGAAAAGTGACCCTTTTTTTCTTATGGGAAGTGGAACAATGCACATTTCTCAGCATGCATTTTCTGTTCCTTGTGCTGTATGTTCCAATGGATGGTTAGGTGAAAGAAGCAGGGCTTTTTTGTGGATTTTTTTAAGAAAAAAGTGGTGAAATTTTGAGATCTTAACAAATTTCTTTCTTTGGTGGAAGTTACTGAAAACCTTGATGATAGGGGCAGGGATATTATATTTGACTGGTTATAGACAGTAAACTGAGGAGCTAACGTGTTTCTGCTTGAGGATCTGTGCTGCCACATCCTATACTAGTTAGTTTTCTTTAGGCTGATTACTTCATGCCTGTGTAATGTGATAATCATGTGTATTACTAAAGCCAAATCATTTTCTGTCAGACTGGGCCTAGAGTCTCCTAACCACCTGGAAGTAGCAGAAAACATTGCTTGTGTGTTCAGTTATG